CCTGAAAATGATTATTTTTTTCTTGTACAAACATCATCTTCAACATTTTTTAATTCATCTACATTTATTCACTACTGGTAAGGGGTGGAGAGGCTGACGGTTAAGAAATATCTGTTTTAATCCAGATCACTTTCATGAAATGGTGAAATTTCACTGAACTAGTAATCCATGTCTTCCAGATTCAGTAGGGTAAAAGCATGGTGTGATGTAAAGGTAGATTTATTTATGTAGCATATTTTCAGCAGCAGGGAAGTTCAAAGTGCTTTGCATGAATTAGAAGGAAATACAAACAAAACATCAAACCAAACAAAAGACAAAAATGTCCAATATGTAGTTTATATGTGATTCCTGTTCTTCACCAAACTAAATGTTGGTTCCAGTTAGTACAGCAGATGTGCTGCTCAGAAGTCAGGAAATGGCTACAATAAGGTAGATAAAATCTTAATGTTCCATAACTACTACCAAAAAATAGTTAAGAAGTTAGAAAACAATTGAAATGGTGTCCCACACAAGACCAAATTTGAAAAAAAAGAAAAAAGAAATCCACAATGAAGAGGATAATAAAAGAGTAAAACTGTAAGGGACACAACTAACATGTGAAACACATTGCTCCAATCAGATTAAACCAAAATTATGCTTTTTTTGCTACATGCAAAATAAGTGTAGAAGAAACTAACATTGCAAACCACCCACACCATCTCCAAGGTGAAACATGGTGGGGGCAGCATAATGCTGGGGGATTGTTTTTCCTCAGAATAGATAGAGAAGCTGATAAACGATGATAAGAAGAATGGAGACAAATTAATCCTGAAAGTAGGCCTGTTTGACAACGTAAAAGACTTGAGAGTGCAGCGTATGTCAACCTTCCAGCAGCATGACAAACCTAAACCTGCAACCAGAGCTGCAATGGAAACGTTCAGATCTAATCACATTCATGTGATAGAATGTGCCAGAAAATCCCCAGATAGAAATCAAATTCAAAATTTGTGCAAAGACTTTAAAACGGAAGCTCTCCAATCAGTCTGACTCAGGCTGGACTATTTTTTCAAAGTAGAATCAGCAGAAATTTGAGTTTACGTGCAAATTTAGTAGAGACGTATTAATAAAAACTCAACCTGCAGCAGTAAACAAAAGATGGTAGTCATTATCCTGGGGTCTTCGAGTTTTGGTTTTCATTTGTGTTTGTGCTTTGATCACTTTCTGGTTATTTATGTTTGTGGTCCTAAAACAGATATTGTCATGTTTGGTTTCAGTATTATGGCCTTACAGATTTCACTGTGTGTGCTCATTCTGTATTTAGTTCCCTAGGTTATTCTTATGTTCTGCTTCTTCTATTTATTTCTTTTAGCTTATTTATTGGGCTTTTTGCCTGTTTGGTTGTTGATCCATTTAATTAATCTGTTTGGTTTCTCTCCCAGCTGCTCGAAATCAACCACCTGCATATTGGCAGCAATCACACTCCTTAGTTTTTACGTTTCTCTGTTTGTGTCTCTCAGTGCTGAATTCTCCACCATTGCTTGCTGGTCACCATTTCCAATTCTCTGTAAGTTTTCTTTTATATACTTTTTATTAAATTATTCTGTTACTGGCAGAGAAGTCTCTGCATTTGGGTTCTCAATAAACCAAAACATGACAATAATTCTCCAAACTATTAACTCAAAAGCATTGAACGCCACACTTTTCCTTTTTACTTGCAAAAAACCTTCATAAAACCATAAAAAATATTTCTTCCACCTCCCAATTGTATATGGCTTCTTGATGGCCTCAATACAATACAGAAGTTTGATGCTGTAACATGACAAAAAGTGAATATTATTCCATAATAAATGGAATATTGACCAACATATTTGAAGTGTTTCTGATGATGGCATTTGACAAAATGTAATGTTTGTTAATCGTTTGTCAAATTGGTGACTGTATGATATTTTTAAGAATTTATTTTTGTGTTTTTATGATGTAAAGCACATTGAAGTGCCATGTTGCTGAAATGTGCCATACAAATACACTTGATTATCTCTGCTATATGTGACTGTTATTTCACAGTTGTTTCATAATTAGATCATTGAAGGCATTTAAAACATTGGCAGCAGCTAATTTTTATTGTTTCCCCCCCCCATAAAATATGTATTTCAACATCCTCTATCCTTTTGCTGTTTAACAGTCATTGTTTACAGAAAATCTCTTTCAGTTTGACGTTTTTGACCACATATTTGGTGCCATGTTTATTCATGAGCAACATCTACAAAAGAGACAAATACGTTGTAAAAGGTCACGTTTTTATCTTTTCCGTGCATTTTGTGTGTATTCTGTGTTATTCTCAAAGGGGAAACGATGAGAAACGCTGCGGTGTGTGTGTGTGACATAAATACATTGTTTCCCAGCTACCGCCTGCAGGCCCAGCACCCCCACTGTACTCTGAGAAACAGCTTTTATACCAAAGTATCTCTCCCCTGTTGGTTACCCCTCCTCTCCCCCTTCCCCAGACACGCACATCCACCTCCATTTCCGCCAGAGATGTGACATCACAGGGTGCACCATGTGATCCGCCCGCACAGAGCTTTGCAGCGATGGATGGGGCCTACCTGTGACGCACAGACCTGCCCAACGCGAGCTGAAATTTAAAGAGGAAAACAAGGGCCTTTATTCCATCACTTTGGAGTGAATATTGAATATCTGCATAATAGGATGGCGCAGATAAGATATTTACAAGGACCTGACATAGGTAGCTTGAAATACCCACATGAGGTTTACCAGAGAGGGTTTAAAATTCACCCATGTTGTTAAATACAGAAATTAAAAGTGAATGCTATTTTGGTTCCATACTAGAAAGTGAAATTGTGTCAACTCCGAAACAGAAACTTGGAAACTGTAGAGTGGAAAAACACAAATACATGTAAGTGTTGTGACTGTTGGGTCTGAGACCAAATCTTAGCCAGAAACCAAAACAATAGTGGAGCTCTTTGACCAGAGGAAATGTCGAAACCAAACCAGGCTCAACTTCCCCGAATGCTGACGTCTAGAAACAAAACGTCTTAACCGGAGTGCTTAAAAGAGAAGTGAGCAGTCTTGTCTGGGTGAAGTCCATCAATATAAATATATGTCACAATTAGCAACTTTTCCAATACAGCACAGCTTTCTATTGTGTAATAAAACATATGTGCATCCCTAAATGTTTTTTTAATCAAAATGAAAAGGTTAACTCTATACTCACACTTATAAACTTTTAAAGCTCAAATTAATTTGAGTCTTCTGTATTTTATTTTTCTAGATTTGAATTAAACTGACTTAATTTGGCTTTTCAACATTATTATACTTTATGAATGTATTTCTTACTGTAGAGATTACAAACTTGTTTTGAACGTTTCATTTGTTTAAAAACCAAGGCGTGTAACTGCATTTTCCTGACAGCATCAAACCGCAGAGAGTCAGTTCACTGTTTGTACTTTATTCCTCTTTACCATGGCAACAGAGGCTAAAATCAAAGATCGTCTATAACAAACACATGAGCAGCTCTGCATAAGAGGCCATTCTAGTCCGTGCGTTGCATCTCCAGGGAAACGGGGCTTTAAATTAACTGAGCAAAAAGGTCACCTTAAATCACATGTTGAATCTAGGAGAACTTAACACGTTTTTAAATCCTTTTAACTGTTCTTATCATTGCATGTTTGAGGTAAGAACATAAAGCTCAGAGGAAGAATACGTTTTACCTGTCGTACAGAACAGGGCGTGGCCAGTTAACAGGCTGAGTTTGTCAAGTTAAAATTGTCACGTAACATAAGGCGCTGCTTTAAAACTGAATTTATATTGCGATTCATGTCATTTTTAGAAAGCTACTGTTCAGAATTACATTCAAAACTTGCCACTGGCTTTTGTGTTATTTTTGAGAAAGTAACATAACCTGTGTATGGCTTAATGTCTTGCTGGGACCTGAAAATTAAAAAAAAAGTATTTCTCCTTAAAATGGCAAACTTTGTGCTGGTTTTTAACTAGGCAACATTCGGTAACACTTTATTTGATGGTGTCTGAATAAGGCTGACATGACACTGTTATAAACATGACATAACACCTGTCATGACCATAAAGAAGTCTTTATGAATGTCTATGACTGTTGTCATGAAGTGTCATTTGGTAAATAATGACACTTTTAATGCAAAGTTCCTCTAAAAGTTGCATTGAAAGGCCATTAAAAGTGCCAACTTTGCATCAAATTGTCATTATTTACAAAATCATGCAAACCTGGCACTTTTAATGGACTTTCAATGCAACTTGTAGAGCAACTTTGCATTAAAAGTGTCATTATTTACCAAATGACACTTCATGACAACAGTCATAGACATTCATAAGGACTCGTTCATGTTCATGACAGATGTTATGTCATGTTTATGACAGTGTTATGCCAGTCTTATGCACACCCCTTCAAATAAAGTGTTACCCAACATTCTTTGATATTTAAATCTAGGATGATAATAATAGGGAAGCTCAACAGCATACCAAAACAATAAAAATTATAGGATTTTTTTTAAAGGTTTAAAATTTAAATGAGTAAATTTAACATAGGCTGCAGTGTTTGAAAATGAACAGTGAACATTCAACGGGATGTAAGACAACATTAAAAGGAAAAATCAGTAAGAAGACTATTGATGAGTTTGCATGTTTTAATGTGTGCAACTGACTGAGCAGCTAGTTGCCCTTTGGGGACAATCATCTGAACTGAACTAACCAGTTCAGATAGTAATATAAATAACAACAATATGCAGTAGACATACACTATTATTGTTTTTCTCACTGTCTGACACTAAGCCAAACTAAACCTTTTCTGCTTTTTCTTTTTAATCGCAAAAACACTGACACTATCCTGTGATGCTGATGTGAAATAATTTTAAAAATGAAATAAAAATATTAATTGTGCATCCCACTGTACAGGCACTCTGTACCATAAGAAGAGGTGTAAAAACATATAAAACACACCCGAAAAACCCGCCAACTATTGTCTGGTTTTTGAAAATACCTCCAGAGTGAGACCTCTGTCGTTTTTCCTTCTCTGTTTAGGCTGTTTCTGTCTGTAGTCAAATAACGTTGTGGGGAGAAGGTAATTTTTGTCCAATGCGCGTGCCGTGACGTGACATAATGGAACGTAACCGTGTAAAAACGCTCGAGGCGGAGCGAGCAGCGAACATTCTGCTACAGTTGATCGGGCTGACGGCAGCTCCAGGCTCAGCGAGGCAAAACAGACATTTACCCGCAGATATATCTCACACCGCAGGTCATTTCTGAGGGTATGGACAGGACACCGCTCTGAAGAAGCGTCGAGCAGGCTACCATTATCAGCGAACACTCGGAAATAATGATGAAGAAGGACATCAATCTGACCCTGGTGGACGACGCAGACCTCAAACCGCATCTCCGCGACGCCGAGAGCCTCCTCAACTCCCCCGATCTGGGTCTGCTCAAGCTGGCGTCTCCTGAGCTGGAGAGGCTCATCATCCAGTCCAACGGACTGGTCACCACGACGCCGACCAGCTCCCAGTTCCTCTACCCGAAGACAGTGACGGACGAGCAGGAGTTCGCCGAGGGGTTCGTGAAGGCGCTGGAGGACCTACACAAGCAGAACCAGCTGAACGGAACTGCTCCGGCTAACGGCAGCCTGGACCTCGGGGCGAACATTCCCCCGGTGACCATACAGCCGGACCTACCGGTGTACACGAACCTGAACAGCTACGGCAGTGGGCCGCTGGGAACCACTGTCAACTACTCCACGGACACTGTTCCCTTCCCGCCCCCTCCGTCACATCACCTGGGGGCAGCCCCGCTCCAGCCGGAGCTCTCCCGGGTCCAGCCGCCGAAGGAGGAGCCCCAGACGGTACCCGACGTCCAGAGCTTCGGGGAGAGCCCGCCGCTCTCTCCCGTCGACATGGACTCGCAGGAGCGGATCAAAGCCGAGCGGAAGCGGCTCAGAAACCGGATCGCCGCCTCCAAATGTCGGAGGCGCAAACTGGAGCGGATCTCACGGCTGGAGGACAAGGTGAAGACGCTGAAAACCCAGAACACCGACCTGGCTTCCACCGCCAGCCTGCTGAGAGAGCAGGTGGCCCAGTTAAAGCAGAAGGTCCTCACCCACGTCAACAGCGGCTGCCAGATGTTGCCACACGAAGTCCAGGTCCACTGACGGCAGAACCAGACCGGAACCGCCGAACAACTAATAAGCTCCACAGACTTTAAACGTGTTGGTTCTTCTGTATCGTATGTAGCCCCCGATGATGCGCCCCATTCTGCCAGGCGACGTCAGCCGGCCATCACTGAGCCGGCCCGAGGCAATGCGAATCAAGCAGCTGTTAAAGAACACTTAACCTATAAGTCTTAAATTTGTGAGTCTGTTTATTGTGAGTTGACTCATTTTAAATATTTCAGATGGTGTAAAATTTAATTTGAGACTCAAAGGAACTGGCTAATGTTCTAGTTGTAAATACACAAAGAAATTATTAACATATTCACTACTTAAAGCTGCAGTATAAATTTTTATAAAATAATTACTTTTACATATTTGATAAAGCTGTCACTATGTCATGAGAGTATGGTATGACCCAGGTAATCAGAAAAAATTGAGCTCCTAGAAACAACCAATCAGAGCCAAGAGGTGGGTTTTAGCGCAGTCAATCACCCTCCATACACGGCAGTTAGCATAGCCTGTTGTAAATGCTCAAGTTAGTTAAGAGGGCTGATAAACAGTTTTTTTTGTAACAATAAGTTGCTTCACTTCCATTAGTGAATACATAAGGTTGATTGTCAGCGCTAAGACCCTCCTCCTGGCTCCAATTGGTTGCTTTTGGACGGAAGAGGAGAGACAGCAATAGTAGGACAGGGAGGATCTTTTTACAGCTTATCTGTCTTATACCAAACTGTAACAACATGGTAACAGTTTTAACAAATATGTAAACAAAAAACACAAAAAAACCCATTTGTTTCAAAAGCTGCATACTGCAGCTTTAAATCTACCAGGTTAAGCTTTTCTATTGTTTGTGTCTGAGGTGGGCTCACATTTCATGCACAGAGTAACTGTTTGCTAATGAATTTAAGCAAAATTTCTGTGGTTGCTTTTAAGCTTTAGCCCTTTATTTCTGATATTAAACCAAATCTGAATGGGAACTCTTAGTGTTTCCTGGTGGGCGTAACAGGAAGTCGGCATCTGAACCAAATTCCACTTGGGCTAATCACTAATGCTACGTAGGATTGGTGAAACGTAAGCATACGAGGTAGAAAATAACTCAACAAAATGAACTTTAACAGTGTTATTGACCAAACAAAAGGGAATAATGTTATCCCTAGCTTTTTCTTTAAGTACATATCCGTAATTAAAGGACTAATTTATTAGGTTCCAACCAGAACGAAGATGCCTTCTGCCTAATTTGGAATCCTGTTCTACCTCGTATGTGTGTTTGCTAGTGGGAGAAAGGGGAATCTTTTAATAGTTTCCAGTTCTTTAAAGTGTTTACTTTGGCTGTATACAGTCTCAAAGCTGGACGAAATGGATATTTCTACACGATTATGCACATTTACCCTCATAAAGGAGGTGGTTGTAGGAAAAAAAAACTTTCGGTTGGTATGAGATAATCTCAGTATATAATCTATTTACTCTGTATTTCTGTAGGGAAATGTTTGCATGTATTGGACAAACTCGAATGTTGCCCTCAGCTGTGTGGAATGGGGCACAAGTTTCTCTGTTTTTATCTTATTTACCTTTACACGTGTGTATTTTGTCTATTTTTTTACTTGGGCGTGTCTGTATTTCAGCGTGTTTCTGTTAAAAATTAATGTGAAAAGCCGTAACCTTTCTGTTGCTATCACCTGTAGCTTACGGTTAGTTTTGGCCTGATGCTGTCGTGTTTTCAATTAAAATGCTGCTCAGCAATCAACATTTTGCTCCGTGTTTGGTCATTTTTTAACATTTTGTTGACTGAAATACGTGTTTGACAATTAATATGAACAATATAACTGGTGTTTTACTTTTTGATGCTAATGAAAAAACTGATATATACACGGAAATGACATTAACATTTCTTCATATTCTGTTTTCTCTTTTATGAGAATAAATAAAATCGGTAGACCAGACATCAGTGAAAATTAAAAAAAACTTAAATGGTGCATCTTCATGTAAAAACACATTTAACTCCTATTAAAATCATTATGTTTAAAGCACAAACTGACTGACTTGTAAAATCCTAATATTTGGACACTTATTACTCCTGATCATTGTTCAGATAATGGCTGCTCCTTTAATGAATCCTTAATTAGTAAAATCTACATTATGTAATATTTCTGAAAAATTCACACTTCATTTTCAGATAGGCGTATTACTCCCTCTGGTGGCTGAATGTTGAAACTACAAAATGACAAAAGATTTAATTAGACTAATTTATCGAAATGTTATTACGCAAAACAGCAGGGAGGGATTAATTTGATTAAAGAGGTAATCCAATTCATAAAAAATATATATTTTTAATCAAGCACTGTTTTTCTATATTTGAATTAGGGATGAAAAATAAATCTTCACCCTCTTTTACATAAACTATTTTCTCATCTGTTAAATTGATATTTCATGGATTAAAGATAATTGATTTGTTTAATATTGAGCTTATTTTAGATTTAGCACTAAGCGTGAATAGATAGCACTTGAAAAAGAGGTTTTTAATCTCAATGGAACATTCCTGGTTAAATAAAGGTAAAATATAGAACAAAAACTTTGTGAAATTTTCAGATGTGAGACCTATTTAAATTGACAAAGGAAAAGAACATTAAGCATTTAATGTTTAAAAATGTTCACCTTTGATGATGTGTTTATTTTAAATGTAAATCCTGTTACAATATTAGAGAAAAGGAAAATAATTATGATGGAAATCAGAAAATAACTGCCAAGATTATTAAAAGAAAAAACAACACAATCCTAACTCGCTCCTGCATTTAAAGTTACTTATAAGTTAGTTTTGTCTTATTTCCAGTGCACTAAGACATATATATGTACACCAGGGTTTTATCTTAATAATATTATAGATGTGAAGTTTGTCAAGATTTGTTTATTTATTCTTTTAATTTATTTTGTTTAGTAAAGATGTTGTTTCTTCAGACATTTATTGGCGTTTTAAGTTCGGTGACGCTTCGCTTGACGGTTACCATAGCAACCAGTAACGGACAGCTCATCCCTCTTTTTCTGTTACTGTTTTTTTTTACAATTATGTGGCGTTTTCTTTACAATTATTATATTTTAGTCAAATGTATTCGTATACAGTGTCTCATGAGTAATTTTGTTATGTTTTGAATATGTTTTTATCTGTTATCAATATGAATGTTGTGCATTTGAGCCATGTTTAATTTTACTACTGCTAACTGCTGCTAACTGCTCATTGGGAGCTATTGCTCTGTAATTTGTTTAGGGTTATTAATTGTATTTTATCTACTGTACAGAAGCTGGTGGACTGATGTTAACCATCAACTTAATTACTTAGTGTATGAATAGATTAAAAGTCACCAAATATTTTTGGGGGATGTGAATTGTGAGTCAAAACAACTGTTTTAAAACACTAACATTTTTAGGCTGAATTCTGCATATGATTTATTCTTTAAAGGTGTGAAATCAAAGTAAATAATCAGAAAATGTTTTACTAATCTGTTTCTTTCACTGTTCAGGTATAAATCCACTCAATGTTGGTTTGTAAAATCAACAAGCAAGTGCTTTTTTTAGTCATTTCTTTTTATTGTTTTACCACAAAGTACAGATAAAAACATCCACAGCATATTCTCTCACTTTAATGGCCCAAACTGAAGGGATCTGAAGAGGCAGTGACACAAGACCAAAAAGAAAAACAAACACGTTCCTGCGTGCTAGTAGAAGATCTACAGTCGGCAACCTCTACCAAGCTGGATGGCGCTTTGTGTTTTTCTGCTGCAGAGTGTATTGCTTCATAGCTGAGTGACACATTCATTCACAAGTAGGCCTAGAAATGTATGCAGATGCAGTGCAACATGGCTCTTTTTAGGGTTTTCAGGTCTTTTTCTTCTGTTGTTGTTTGGATGCAAGCCTGAGACAACACAATCCACACGTATGACTGAGAGGTACAGTATTTACAGGGTTAGACGGAGAGGAAGACGTATTAGAAAGGAGAACAGTTTATCAGTTTGGATTTTACTCAAAACAGTCACAATCAGTAAGAAGTAAAATATTCACAGGGAGAAAAATCACTGAACTCTGGCTGGGGACTCATTCTCATTTTAGATGCACTTAAAGTAAGATAAAAACACTAAGTTCATTTTAATAGTACAGATTTTTCATAGTGGTTTTTTTTTTGCAGTCTTAGTCATCTTTTATTTGTTTTCCTCATTAAACACGTCTATCAATCTTCGTCCCGCTTTGTGGAGCAAAAACACCAAGCCACATCTACAGCGCTCCATTAAATGAGGGAAACCAGTTTCAGCTTTGGAAAATGCAGTAAAACAAGAGTAAATATGTTCTGAGGAAGGGCGTCCCCATAAAAGCGCGGCTGTGTTGACTTTTTGAACAGGTGATTTTTTTTCTTTTTTTCGGACAGCTCAAGCCGCCTGCCCTTCCTCCAGCTCTTAAATGCTTCCCAACGTTCAACCAGCTGGAACTGAGATCTTCTCAAACAAAAATAAACCAACATTTACACGGCAGCCTGCAACAGACGAGTCAAGCTGCTCTGCAAAGCAAACTCTGACACAGTTTCAGCAGAAATGCTGCTTGTTGCTGCGGAAAAGGATCGTTTGAGTTACCGCAGGTGTTCAAGCCATGCTGCTTGAAAACGAGCCATTAAATGCTTGAATTGAGTCAGCATATAAAATTTGTAAAGGAAAAAAAAAGGGTTTGATACCTGCCCAGACTGCTGAAGTTCAACCTAATTCACAACTGTTGGCATTAAAATGTGCAACAAGCTTTTCAATATCATGTTTTTTGCTGCAAAATATATTTTTTCACAATCACTTTATGAAAACGAAACCAACTGGAGCCTTTTTGCAATTTTCTGGTTTAGTTTGATCAGCAACAAGAATATTTAGTAAATAATCCATGATTTTATGATCGACAAATTAACCATTTTTGCATTTGATCAATCTTTACAGCTCAAAATGAAAATTACCAGCTATTTACTAATCAATGAATGCAACATACATAAGCACAAACACCGCAAAAACACAAAATCTTACCAAGTATTTTTTGCCTATTTTCTAGAGCAAATATCTTGGTACACATGAAATAAAATAAAACTAATTTACAAGTAACTTTTCAGGAAGATACAGTAGCTTGATTTATGTCATTAATTGGTTGATATTGGTAAGAGTACTAGCTCCACTGGCAGGTTATTGTATTTATAACAAGACATTTTCCTGATTATATATGAAATAATCTTCCTGTGGAAGTAGCACTTTTTAAAAAATTAATATTAAGGAATTATTTACTTAAAATAAGCTTCTATATCTTGCTGAAAATATACTTGAAAGTTATTTTTTATTTCTAAACCAGACAACTAAACTAGACAAAAATATACTTAGTAATATTTAATGTTTTTGCAGTGAAGGTAAGTGTTTATCTTTATGCTGCAAGTCAGGAAATTACTACAACAAAATGGCTCCTGGGTTGAATTTGGCTGCATGTAGTGTAACAAAAACTAATCCGAAGCCCTGAAACAATATTTCATCGCAATGCTTTTTTATTTTTTTAAACCAGGAATGCCATTGATTGTAGAGAGCATTGCATATCCTATCAAAGTCTAGCTTTCAGATGCTAGACTTTGATATATATTCTAAAAACTTAAACATCACAAAAGAAAAAAATGACAAATTTAACTGTCATTTTTTAAAAGTTTGATCTCTGGAGAGAAAATGCAAAGTTGTAACTTCATTTTTGTAGCAGAACCAGCATGCGGTCATGTCCCACCTGTCAAGAACTAATAGCTAAAACTGAAATTTCACAAATTTATACCCTGTGACAACAACAAACTCAGTCAGCAGTAATCTCTCCTTCTGGTTCCTCACTGAAGACGACCAAACAGCAACGAGATAAAAGCAGAATTACGTAAAAACATTATTTTCATCTTCAAAATCAACTCCAAATGCCTCCGAGAGCATTAAACAGATTTAAAGGTAGGTTTCTTTTACACATAATTACTAAAGGTAACGACGAACAGTAAAATTTGTCACCATTCTTACAATCTTACTGGCAAATCACCCGACTTTGAGCTTAGTGTTACTTTATTTAGGGCTCATTTCCAACCAAAAAGCACAAGAGTCTTAATTCAGGATCAGAGTTGCTTTTATCCTGAAAGTCGACCATCAACATCAACCATGTGACATCCTGTTGCTTACAGCAACTTTAAAATCTGAATTTTAATCAGGTTTTTGTAAAACTGTAAGCAGTTTACCATCCTGATGAAACTGAATCGTTCCTGAAAGGAGCCACAAGCGGGGAAACGATAAATCCTACAACAAAACACCTTTTTTTTATTCAACACTATCCTCGCAGTACATCAGACTTTTTAAAATATTTTTCCAGAAGTTCATACCTGTAGATATTATATGCATATATTGCACAACATTTATATGTACATCTGAAATAAATATAATTAAATAAAAAAAATTCTATCCACTTATATACTTCTTTTTTCTCTTTTTCACCTTGCAATAAGCTTGTTTGTCTTTTTTACTCTCTCTCTCTGGTTTAGGTTATGAAAAGAACAAGGCTGGAAAATATAAAATAAAAATTTGCAGAAGGAATTAAGAGAAAAAAACGGTGATGAAAGATGCTCAGAAGAGCTGAGGAAATGGTCATGTTGGTTTAATTCCTGCAGTTTTCAAGTGTAAGTAGGTACAAATACAAAGTTAATTGTATATGTTGGATCTGAAATGTACGGC